AAATCACGAAAAACGCGGTGAGCGATGTCGATCGATGTGTTAATGGCGATTGCTCGATGCAAAAGATCTAAGATGGCTGCGCAATTGATCATGCACGCTAAAGATTGGCGCCACGACGTGAATGTGCCGCGCTCATACAACGACGCCATCTGTATACTCAGTCTCGTGAACGACTTACAATTCGATAGATCGATAATTATTAAACATTCTCGACAAATGCCACTCTAGCTACGCGTTCGACATTACTATTAATCAATTTTTTTAAAATATTATTCGTTAGAAGATTTGTTTCTCGTTAATAAGGAATATTATTATATTAACCCAGAAAACAGATTTACACTTTTTGGATTAATCAACACTTTTTGGATTAATAAACGCATAGCTAGATGCGGATACAAATGGCCAAAAATTTTTAGTAACTATCGATTTCATCGATTACGGGCAGAACATTCGCTGAACAAGGATGTGCGTGGTTATTATTATATCAACAAAAGAAACACACAGTGTGAAAAAAATATCGTATGATCGCAATGGCCTGTGATGTATTCACAGGATGCCTCAGGGATCCGACTTTACGCGACTTTAACTTGATAAAAAGATTCTTTTCGAGTTGCTCCGCTAGTATTTCAGTTACTACAAAAATAGGACGACTGAGGTGACATACGTCAATCGAGTGTCTCGCTTGAAGTTCACGATTTAACAGGTATAGACTGCGCTGCTGCTGCGCAGGGATAATGTGGGTTGCGCTATTGTTGCACTTAGTGTCTCATTAATGCACCTTCGACAACGTCGACAAGCGTGTTTGACGCGAGTTTATTCGGAGTCGCCGAATGATATTATGGCAGCGTGCCGACCACGACAGAGAGGAATGAGGGAGAGAAAGAAAGAGGAAGAGAGAGAGGAAGAGGAAAAGAGAGGAAGAAAGATACGAAACGCTCGATAATCGTACACCGGCATTCCAAAGATCGAACGAATCGACATGCACGCGGTAGAAACGGGCGTTTCGTTTCCCCGACAGCGCGATCCGAAATCCGCTCCTCCCGCCCCTCCTCGTCACACACACAAACACAGTCTGTATTCTTGTCGCGCGTCTATGGCGCTTAACGCGAACGCGTGATTCTCTGGTCTCACGTTGAAATTACACAAATGAATTCCACCATCGGTATTCAGCGTCCACTTCGAGTCGAGTTAGGTTAGGTTACGTTGATTTGAGAAGGTTTGGTTAGGTTAGGGAGCCTATTTGAGAATTCCCTGTGCGAGGAAACAAGGAGCTTCTCTCTGGCTAATAGAAGACCACGTTTGCATCTCGCATTGAGCTTTAAATGAGCGCGCCGTGTGATTCTCGATGAGCTCTCGGTACTAAAACCGAGCGTGAACTTTACGCTAGTGTTTAGCATAGGGCACCCGCGTTTAACCGCAAACGTGGGACGCGAGAACAACCTACCCGATCACGATATAATTGTGTGACTTTTATGACACACTCTGGACTGTAATCATTCACTTTTTACATAGTTCGATCTCAACACTAAAATCCAAAGCAATTTCAAAGCCGATCCACATGTTTCTTGGGCAACTAGTCACGAGGCGAGAAAACTAACGATATATCAAACTTCGTGCACGAGATCTGCGACTATGTAAGAAAAGTCACTACCCAGAGGACGGGAGAGGAAAGATCTTACTTCTTCTTATTTAATGACCATTTCTACCAACGTCATCGATTAAACATTAACCCTAGTTTAAGATCCGTTTGCATCGGCCGAGTGGTAAGCTAACTAGCGATAAAAATATGTATTTGTCTATTTTGAAGAAAAAAATAAAGACGAATATATGATTTAACTATAAGAGAGAATTTATACCTTAACGAAAAAGCGGAAGCCCTTAAAATTCGTACTGGTGGTCAATCGGTAGACAATAGTTCCTGCTTTTTTTACTAGCGCAAGTTTTTTCTGTTTAGCATCTGTTTTAGGTTTTCTGCTTCCCTGCCAAGGTGTGTGGATTATCCCTAAGTTAGCTCACTACTCAGTTGGAGCAACCGGATTTAAGTCTTGTCTGAATAAACTTGAAACTCAGGTTAAGGTTTAATCGACGTTGGTAGAAGTGGAAATGAAAGACGAGGCCAGTGACAGACGAAAATGTAAGGTTAGGAAGGCGACGGACAACGGGCTAAAATACGTGAGGACGCGAACAGGGAGAGCACAAGCGAGAACGAAAGAGATAAAGGGGAGGGAGAGGCCAAGAGCGGGGGCAGGAAGCCTCCTCGGAGCCAAATTGAGAGAAAGAAAGAGAGAGGAGGGAAAGAGGGGGGAGAGAGAGAGAGAGACGGAGGAGCAAGAAAAGCGAAGTGACTCTCCTCGCGGTGAGCTCGGCTGGCTAACCGCCCTCCCCACCCCATTTTTTGGACACTTACACCGTACACTCATCTACGCACACGACTCTGTCTCGCACGAGATACACATGCACGAATATGTCCATGTACGCGTGCACGTACAGAGACGATATGAGCCACCGCTTATCCCAGTCTCTCTTCCTTCACCCGCCCTTTCTCTTTCCCTGCCTCTCTTTTTATCTTTTTTTATGTACTGATAATAAATATACATACGTGTCGAGATGCATACATGCGAGCTGAGTACGGCAGCGCACACACCACACACACGCGCGCTCCCCGTGGCAGGCGAGGCCTCGGCGATGACGACAACGTCGGCGGGTACGAGGACGTACGAGGACGATGACGAAGGTGGTGTCGACGTCGGCGGCGACGACAGTGGTGGTAATAGCAGTAGTGCTGGTCGTAACGGTGTACAGTAGCGGATCCGCGCGCTCTCGCGAGGATGGTAGAGGCAGCACCAGGTAGAGCGGTGCCGACGGTTCAGATCTCCGTAAACGCGCGCGACGACTCGCGGATGACGACGGCGACGGTGGCGGCGGCGGGACTTCGCCGGCGAGAACGAGAGAGACGGCCGGAACACGGTGTTCGCGTGCCTCCTCGATGGTGGCCGCACATCGGAGGCGGTAGAGTCGCGGCGACTTGGAGTCGTGTCGGAGTCGCGGGTGCGTGCGTGCGCGCGCCCGCGCGACAGCGCTTGCGAACGCTCACGGTCGTTCGGTGTGTCGCTCCGTCCTTCTTCCCCCAATGGCCCCTCTCTCCACCTTCTACTTCGCTCTCTCTCTCTTTCTCGGTGCTTGATATACGAAGCTCTCGGGTATTTTTATTTGTAATCTCTTTTTTCTACTTGCATATCTCTGTGTTTACGACGTTGTTAGTAATTGATGTGTTTGATATTGGCTGTTGTGTTGATTTTTGCTAGTTCGCGGAAGGATTTTTTACCGAACGCTTAATAAACGCTTTCTCCCTCTATCTCTCTTCTCTATCACTCGCTCGTTCTCTTCCCCCGCCGTTCTTACCTCTACCGAACTTGGTTTTGTCCTCGCTCCTTTCTTTCACTCACGTCCGTTTCTTCCTCTGTCCTCCTCACTCGTTCGTTCTTCTGTCGCTTGTCCGTCAGTAACCTAGAAAGCGGCCACGGCGGCCATTCAGGATTACGGGACTCCGTCCGCACGTCCGCCTTGTCTCGCCTCTCGTGGAGATCGAGTGGCGGCTCTCTCTCTATCGTCTTCTCCTGTTCTGTCTCTTTCTTTATTCCTCCTCCTTCTCTTTCTTTCCAGCGGCTCGACCGAACGAGACGCCGCGCGGTATCTGTTAGCGGCTGCCCCGAAACACGTTTTCTTCACGTCCGTCTTCGTCCTCGAGGAACGTGTCCGAGGAGGTCGATGAGCAGGTCGAAATGATGCTGCTCACACTGCGAGCGTACGTACGTCCCGTTCGCCCATTACGGTGCGCCCGCCACGCTTGTTCACCGTTGCACGCTAGGCTCGAACTTCCCTCGCGGTTGCACGATAACGTCCGGCTCGAGCGAACGGAGACTACGACAAGGAGGTCCGTATCGCGGCGAGACACGAACACGATCGCGACGCTCGGGTACACACACGATTTTCGCTCGCTGATGACGCTCGCTCGGAGCTATACACGGGCACCGGCGCGATCGCCGCGGCTACTATCGACACTGTATTCTTACTCTCCCTCTCTCTTTCTCTCTCTCTCGCGGCACGCACTGTACTTCACTTTACTCACTGGGCGTACATTCGCGGTCGTGGAAGAGCGCGCACCCTCGCCACGGCAGATCGGCGAGGAGCGACTGCGAAAGCACTTTGGGTGTGCTCGAGGCGGTTACAACGGCTGCGGCAACGGCAGCAACGACGGCCACGATGACGACGACGACGATGACGACAACGACGGAGGCAGTGTGTTGCTGCTGCGTGCCGTGTCGCGCGGCACGGACGCGGAAAGTACGCGACGTTACGGCGGCGCGTTCGGGCGGGCCTCAGCGCCAGGGATATTCGTCCATTTGTGACAGATTTTCTGTCCGAGATGCACCGCGTTAACGACCGTCCCCCACCTTTCGCCGCATACAGACATCACCGCACTTCGATTTTTCAAGATGGCGACGCGCCTCGTCGTCGGCCCCGCAGGCGTGCAGCGCGTCGGCGCGAGACTGCGTTTGCGCACTGGCGCCTTTCGTTCAATCGCGCGTCGACGCGCGCTTTTCAAACACTCCCCGGCTCAGCGGCGTCGTGATATTTTTGCCGGCATTTTAATTATTAAGAAGAATCGAATAGCGACAGGTACATGATATTGTACATTCAGATTATCCAAGATACATTCAGTTACATCACGATTTAATGCTCGCAACCTTTTGAGTCGACTTTGTCAGGTTAATTTGTGAAACTGTCACGCAACATCATGTTATAGTTAACCTTTTAAGTTTAAGAGAAAAAAAATTGTTAATTTAAAAGAAAATTAAAACTTATCTCGTGAAGTTATGTCTCTCCTCGAGATGATCAAATATTTTATAATTTTTTTCTGTTTTCTACGATTTATCTCTTACTAACAGAATGATTGCCCCAACATTGTTAGGTTTTTAGAAATATGATAAGACAAGTGGTAAAATCATCTTAGATATATAATATTTGTATATATTAATGTTTTATATGAATATTTCTCAATGAAATACAACCTTGAAAGAGATCATATTATATCTAATGGAGAATTTTGCGAAAGTAGAAAGTGATGCCACCAGCTACTTATTCAACAGCAAAATATTTCTGCAATAGCTCCTCATATATGTCCTTGTCACTTTTTAAAAATAAGCAGAAGATAACCCTGTCAATCTGTAAAGTTATAGTAAAGTTTCGTAGATATTAATAACTGTATACATAACAGAATAAAGGATCGTAATTCATCAAGTACATATGCAATCTTACATTATCCTTATTCTCAAGAAGGAATTTCTTGACTGTTGATAAAGCTACTTTAGCTGCTGGTTTCTGTGGGTACCCATAAATTCCAGTTGATATACATGGAAAAGCGATGGTGCGCAAATTATTCTCCTTTGCTTGAGCCAAACTGTTCTCGTAACATTCCTTCAATTTGTCTGGTTTCTCACCTTGGGGACCAACAGTGTGAATAACATCTGAAATATCATTTAAGAATTGAGATCTCTAGCAACACTAAGATTACTTCAAGTTAAGCTCCTTCAATAAATTACTTACATTTAGCTGGTAGCATATAACCTCCAGTAATTTTAGCTTCTCCAACTCGACATCCTTTTAATGTTGTGCATTCCTTTTTTAAATTTGGTCCTGCTGCCCTATGAATAGCTCCATCAACTAAAAAAGAAACATTTGCATCACTAAAGACATTGCATGTCTTTTAGATATAAAATCTTTCATCGGAAACACTCTATACCTCCACCACCTCCCAATAGACTCGAGTTTGCAGCATTGACTATGGCATCTATTTCAAGGGATGTTATGTCCCCCTGCCACATTGAAACCTTCTTGGCCAAGTCCTCATCAACCTCCTCAGTTTTCTTAGGAGTCTTAATGGCGATAGTGAACTTGTTCTTGCTCCAATACTCTGACCACGTGGGAACTTGCTCCAGACTCGTCACCTCTCCCTTGTAGAAAGTTTTCTTCTCCTCCGACGGCATGTTCAGGAATTTCTCTAATTGCAGAAGCAACAGAAACATACATCATCAAAATATTTACAAGCCAACACCGTAATTGTTATCGTTCACTTGATTGCTACGTTATAATCATGCGATTGGCAAACCCTTACTTTTCTCTTCCTCGAACGACATCTTCCCCTCAGGTTTGATCGATGCGGACGACTTTGGTCTCGATAAAAAATGCTGAAGGGAGCGCCTGAGGGTGCAATTAGCGACGGTCGCCTAGAAACCAAAAGCAGTTCTCGGCAGAGCTCACGTAGGACTTTGCACGCTCTTGTCTCTTACGTTCAGGACCAGCATATCCTGCGTCACAGAATGACTCAAGGAAGCTCTGTCAGTCACTGATGTTCCATTCGCACGACCAAGATCACAGGATGTCAACGCACACCTCGTGCCTGCTTGATCACGAAGTGCGACAAGCTCGCGAATCCCGCAAAATGCTATTGTTTTGCTCGTTCCCCTGTCGTGTTCGCGGAAACCGGCGCCGACCATTTCCCCTCCGACCAGCCGGTGATGAGGCAGCTGTTGCCATCTCGCGGTGTCGGCGCGCTTCGTACTACGCTCTCCGTACGAGAGATGTCATCCGACAGCAGAACCGTTTCTTCCGTGCGACAGATAATTACACGATAGCGGTGTACTTCCCGTAATTGGATTTGGAGTCTGGAAAACGCGGCTAACGTGAAACTACCCAGGTACCTCTTTCGACCCCGACGAGAATATACTCAAATGTATAAATAATGGAATTATCACGCCCCAGCAAACACAATGTTACATGTAACGTACATGTTAGTTGTAATTTCCTACTCAACAATATAACTGTTATATAACACGCATGTTATATAACAGTTATATTGTTGAGTAGGAAATTACAACTAACATGTACGTTACATGTAACATTGTGTTTGCTGGGGCTGTACGTAAGAAAGCGCGCGAAGAGAAATTCAAAAAAGGTAATATAAGAAATTCAAAGGTAATATTGTTAGCGAGATAATCATAATATGATTTTAAATGTAGAAATTTTATCAACACGATCTCAATAAGCACTTTCTCAGATGAATAGACCCCCTTATCAGCCCTCGTAAAAATGACAAAAGAACGAGGCAAGATACGATCGCTTAAAGATAAAAAAGAGAAACAAACAAACTACAGTCAGCGATAATAGTGGCTTAACTTGCGATCGATTATCGCCGGTAGGTAACAGATCAATATCGCGGTAAATCAAACTCCCGAATCCAAATATAGTTCTCTTTCTCTCTCTGTCTCTCGCGTAGAATAGCATGCTAGTGTGCGTCTAACTAATATACCATATATATCTACCCACTATCCAATTACAGGGATACTACTGCTCTAGGCTCGGGAACAGCAGAAGTTTTCGTTGTGCCCTGGAATTGGAATCAATCGAGGTTTGCGTGGGTGCGCTTGTCCGTGGGTGTTCATACGACAACGTGCCTTTGGGGGAGACATTAACCTACCCTACCTCCAGGTTCGGCGCACTTGGCGAGATGCTCACGTCACATTACGTAAATGCTACCGATTCTGCGCTTTATTACTTTGTCATTATGCCGGCTGGATCGAACGGCCGATGACGTTTGAACCGAATAATGGGATGCTTCGCGGCCGACCCACGTGTAATTCAAGGTTAAGGAAATTAAGCAAGCGAAAATGACAAGGCTCATTCGCGCGAGTTCTCCTCGAATCGACCTTTCGTCCACAGGGTTCGCGAAATTTGAAAATTTATCTCGCTCACGCGAACTTTCGTCTGTTTCTTGTCGACTGAACGTACTCGACTAAGAGAATGCGGGAACTATTCGCAGTCTCGCACAACTGCCGAATGTCAGGTCGATATAGTTCGCGTTATTATATAAATAAAAAAGAAAATAATGTTATATTTTCTCAATACACGCAAGTCACGCGCGACGTCCTATGGCGCTTCGACAATCACGTGCCGACGCGACTCGCCTGCTAATTTTCTTACACCACGAGTTTGGTCTGGCGTGTTATTTTGTAATTTCCTTATTTAAATGAAGATCAGTTAACGCGAACGCGAACGTTGCCAGGAGGGAAACGAGAAATCTGTCGCGCTGAGAGTGTGACATTTAAATGCAGCACAATTGATCGCGGAAACACATCGTGCCGCGATTGTATTACGCATGCAATTCTTATGAGCTATATACATGCATGCAATAAATGTTTTTTTTTTATCCTACGCTAGGGGAAGTGTTAGCTTTTTTACGCGATATCGTATGGATACATATATATATACTATATGTGTGTGGCAGGTCATCTGGTAAGGTCTCTGAAGAGTTTTCTCGCTGTTAAAATTCGAGCGATTCTCGAACTTTTAGGTAACAAGCCCCCCACGTGTTAGGTCAACGAAATACGATAGCACTCGTGTGTGCTTCGTTGCACCACATTGCTGTGCCTACTGCATCACGTCGTCGTCCGCAGTAGCGGGAATGAAAAAGCGTTGAGCAAATTACCGTTGAGCTTGCGCAAATTATCGCGTTTTCGCCGGGTGTTTACGATTGGAAAAGTTATAGAATATTTGCTAAAACAAATTCCAACTTGGGCACGTGCATCCTTTTTTTATAAACTCATTTCATCATTGAAGTTTCGATAATATCATTGTCGAAATTAAAGTAGTGTTAATGGGAATGACCTTGGCACGAATTTGGGAAGACTAAATCTTTATTAAGGAGTTTATTCACTTAAATGCTGAAAAATGCCAAAAAATTTTACGTAACACTTATCGTAGTGAAACATGTTTATAGTTGAAGTTTCATACGATTTGTCTGCACCGTGTTTGTGAGAAAATTAATATTGAATATCGTTTTGCACACGTAACCTTATGATAGAAGCAATATAGATAATCATTATTCCAGAGTAATTTTGTAAAAAATAATATATCATCCAAATAAAAAACTTACCGTTATAAGAATTATATATTAGGAAACATGGCAAGATACCCTTATAGAAATATCATACTAAGAATCATTGATAATTATCCAGTATTTTTAATACTGAAAATAAGTAATTATCAATGATTCTTAGTATGATATTTCTATAAGGGTAGAGTGTATGTGAAATTAGTTTAAAATTAACATTTATTACTTAGATAGTGAAATAAATATGCAAAAACGTAAATTTTATTTGGTATATAGAGAATTTATGAGTAATTTTCTTAATGCGCCACTAAAAATACATCCCTTGAGCGTTCTAAAAATATATAACTTAATGAACAAACTTTTTAATACTTGGTTTTTTTTTAAGTTTTGTATCATCATATGAGATACTCAAATTTGTATTTATTGTTAGATCTGAATATTTCGATCGAATCACACAATACATGCAACATTATTGTTGCAGTCGCGATTCCGCTGAAAAACATCTAACTCTAACCATAAATATATGTTATCTCACTTGAGACAAGCTTCAAATAAGTCATAATAGTCATTACTTGAAATTTGTCTTACGTGAAGTATTTAAGTTAGAGTTAGATTTGAGTTCTTTATACTTGAATCATACAATATATGCAATATTACATTTGCAGTTGTGATTCAGCTGAAAGGTTTATATCTAACTCAAAATTCAAATCTGACATGAGGTAATCTCACATGAGGTAAGCGTTAAGTAACAATTACTAATATGGCTCTATATTAATACGTGTTTAAATCCTATAACCCATTTAAGATCGTTCATCCATGAATTGCTTAAAAACGTCGCAATTACAGGAAAGAAATTACGTAAGGACGAATCTCTCTATCTTGACTGTACGGACTGAAGAGATTACTTCCGACGAGAAGAAGCGGAGGTGCGGGTCGTGAAAAATACCAGACGACGAGCGGAGATTTATTTTCGCGTTCCCGATTTATTTCCCCCGGCGGGGAATAATTTTGCAAGATACGGCGAGGCGTAGAAGGGGTGCGATAATAAATCATAGACACGGGCTAGTTTCGGTAGCAACAGAAAAACCAAGAGAGAAGCGAAACTTTCCGCTTCCACCTGATCATTTGCACACCCCCGTGATACGGAACCGCGGGGTAAAATCGCAGCGCACATATCCGACGCACGTAACGTGAATGAACAGTCCTGTCCTCTACGACGACGACGGCGAGAACCACGACGACGCCGACGCCGACGTCACCGACAGGGAATCGTGCCTTTTCCACGTTGTATGGAGTGGCGGCCGCGTAGTAGCGCATGCTGAAAGCCCCGCTATCGATCGATCCGCGCCCCCGAGCTTTCTCTCGCTTCTCCTCACAAGCCTCGCGAACGTCGCCACCGAGCGTAACCGTCCCGTACGAGCGGAAAACGTACCGGATCGGCTGCGATTTTATTTCCGCGTACGACTTTTCGTGTCCTCGTTCTTTCGCGTCCATCAGCCGTCGAGAGTGAATCAGCAGGCGAACAACAGCAACAGCAAGAACGGTAGCGGTAGCGGAAGCGACTACGCCATGGCACATCGCGGTGAATGCTTCAAGGCGATTTTCCTATTGTGTGAGTTCTCTGCGAAAGAATCGTACGACTCGTGCCCTTCTCGGATACGGAGTGCTGCCTGAAATACGGTATTTTCCGTGAGAAGCGTGAACAACGTGAACAACTGTTCGTCGATCGTGTCGCTCGCACCGGGTAGGACCGCACCACTTAACCCTTTGACGTATCAAAGTGTGGTCATTTCGAATAGAAATTTCATAGGACTAGCTGTCGAGATGCGTCTCGATCGGTAATTGTAGACGAGGTAGAGTAAAAGTACGTGTGAGACGAAAGACAGACATGAAACATATGAGAAGATAATTTCCATATGCACTATTTCTATATGCATCAAAGGGTTAAAGCGTCGGTAACCAGAGATTCCCGGTAAACCTTTCGTTGATCTGTGGCCCTAATCTGTCATGAATTGTGAATGAGAATCGACTGCGTTGCGCTTTCAAAATTCATGCGTCTATATTTAGCCATTAGAATCTGCGTATGCCTACGCTTTGTGTAATATTGTTTCTTCATGTATTTTCGATAGTTTTATGACAACGCGATTTACTGCACACGGAGAAAGTACTGTAGTAAAAATTATTTCAAAATTATATCTCTTTTTATAATCCGTGTCTTGTAAATCTGAACCATACCGAAATTGTAGTGTGTATGTGTGTAAATTGTTATAGTAAAGTTTATTATATATATTCACCTGGAACACGATATCTCTCAAAATATAACTCAAATAATTATAATGATTTTGTAATAAAAATTCAAACGTGTATGACATTTTCAAACGAATATGCAGTAATTTCGATCATAATTCTGTATGATCTGAAATTACAAAAAAAGATTTGCTTGTATTTTCTACTACAATATTTTTTCTCTGTAAACAGCAGCGCGCTACATATTTACACAAAAAATATCAAAGAAATAGTAAATATTTATTTTCTAGATACATTAACAGTATATTTATTTTATATACACTAATATGAAATATTTTTCAAATAAGAAAATGCACGCTTTTTTAAAATCTCAAGGAAAAGTTTTTCCTTAGTTTTTCATATGAAAGCAATTATTTATTCTATTTGAATAGACGAATTTAGATTTAAGTAAATATGCTGCTAGTACCTATCAAATAAATAATTTTTTTATATATTTTTAAATATTTTTTCCTTTCAGTATATATGAACTTCGCTAATAGGAAGACGAACGATCACTTCGACATGAGAACTTCGCAGTCGCGCATTTCTCAAAAGTTTCGCAAACACTTTTATGTAAATTGCACGATTACTCGCAAAAGTTTTACACGGTCAGGCGGCGATCTCCTGTCTACGAACTTTCTTAATATTCTCTTCAGCGCTTCGTGCACAATTAATTTTTATTCGATTTAACGAAGCGGTGCTTCGTCTGCCTTAAGCGAGAGCAAGTTAATTCACACAAATATCAAGAACCAGCTAATCGATTTTTTATGTCGTCCCGTGTCAATATATTTACTAATTTATTTTTAAATTTAATTGATACAGCCTGTGGTTGTCTTGTCAATTTTAAAGGGAAACAGAGGTCGTTTCTGTTGTTGACTTGTGCAAAATAAATGTTTCACGTTACCGTAGCGTGTAACGACGATCATAAAATTTTACCAAAATATTTTATTTCGTAGGGTGCGTCTTGAGCACAGCGTTTAGCGTTCCCTTTCCTACATCGATGCCGCGACAACAAGACGAGCAACGTTACACCACACGGAAGATGGGGAAAGTCTATGTGGAGATGCCTACTTCAAGGACGAGGCCGCCCCTGGTAAGTACGTCTTTTCTTCGTCGACATATTCAACACTCATATTCGTTACGAATTACGACTATTTCGAATTACGATGAAATACAACGATATTTTACAGATTTCTCGAATTCCCACGGAGAGAATTTTATAATAGAGGATTACTGCAGGATTTTGTGACCGAGGAATAAATCGACATTCTGCAGTAATTCACTATCCTTTCACATTTCATGTGCGCTATTTATATTTTAAGAACTAAAATGTGCTATTGAAATTTTTGCTATGTTTTCAACGAAATTTACTGTGTTCCTTATGCAAGAAATAGACCTGCCAGTATTCTTAGATTATTAACAAGGGAACACTGCAAACCCGAACTCTTTGATTTTGATATACTTTTGTGAGTATGTAGAGTAAATCAATACATGAATAACAATATATTCCATTTGTGCCCTATCACTATTTAAATGTATGATTTACACTCTCGAAGTAAAAAGGACGATTCCACTTTTTCGTGTATTACTCTTAAATTAAAGGAGATAGAAAAAAGTGTTTCGAATAAAAGTTTAATGATAGGTTAAGTGCTGTAAATTGACATAAGCATAAATGAAAAATACCTATAAAATTATTTTACAATAAAGAAGATATTTTTTAAATAGCGATAGGGCGAATGGGATATATCGTTATTCATGTATTGATTTACTTTATATACTCATAAAAGTGTATCAAAATTAAAGAGTTCGAGTTCGCGGTGTTCTCTTGTAAGAACATAGAGTGAAGTTAAAAAGAATTTACATGAAAAAAAAAACTATAATATTCTCTGCGTATACTAACGTCAATATTTACACGCTCTGATTTTTCAAACGAACGAAAGAATTTAATGTACAGACATTTTTCTACGATATTTTATTAGCCATCGAGATTAGTTATTTTCCAACATTATTTTTTCCGCTGCTACATCAGCCAGGCGTAGCGCTATACACAGTGACTTTTAGTTAAACGTGCAATTTTTAGAAGTACAACGAAGTATATTCTTATATATGTGAAAGTAATTATTTAAATGGATTCGCGGAACACTCGATAACACATTCGCGAGAAGGAGAGAAGGGAGAGAGAGGTACTCGCGTCGCGGGTCGTGCATATCTCTATATATATCTACACGCTCTAATGTCCTCACAGTGGGCGGCGACCACTCCTACATACACCGTGCCACACCACCGTGAATCCCATGTAATTGTGTTACCATTTATTACGACGCTTATTTGGCTTGAGACTGAGACCCAATAATTAAACGCGACGAAAGGTTGCCCGCGGCGTCGTATTGAGTTACGACCGCGAGATTACGTGTAAATCTTCAGGAAACTTCGGAAATCACGTCTCCTGCGCAAGGACTCCCGTACTCTGTCCTCAAGGTTGAGAGCTTAACGCCGTCGGACAACCGCGTTCGCCGTAATGTATGATAATGCGCGGAATTTATAAAGGGATGTTGTGTGTTTCTATACGCTGGGCAATTCTATCGAAACTTCTCCGCTCCCTCACCTTGTATTGCTTGAAGTTTTACGCGTAACCTTGGCCCTATTCGCTACTCCTCCTCTTACCTACTCTCCTTTTCTCTCTCTCTCTTTCTCTCTCGCTCTCATGTTTTAATATCCAAATTGAATGTTAATCTTTACTCACGAGTACGCAAAGTACACAGTTTAATAAGAAACTTTATGGAAAATAAACGTTAAAAGCGACGACAATTTGATGACAAAATGTGAATAGCACTTTTTTTCATCATACACGAGAAAATATCATTCTACTTTGCTAAGAAAAGCAATTTACTTACCTTCTTTTAAACAATGGTTATCTCCAATAAAGAATATTTTCTTGATGTAATAGTTTTAAAATATACTCATCACAAATTTGAGGAAATATATATTATTGTATATACAGAAGATTTTCTCTTTACAAGAACATCATCGAATTTTATCGAAGAAAAAGCTGACTTGATCCTTGAAATTTGATGCTCATATGATGAATTCGCAATAAATTTGCAAACATATAAACTTACGAAATACTTGACACAAGTAACATTTATTTGAAAAATGATTTACTTAGATAGATATTTCTTTAGTGTAAAAACGATTTGAACAGTGCAATACAATTGTACTTCGTTATTTTTACACGTTGTGGCGATTCTGGAATCGGCCAGATTGGCATCGAAACTATATCGAAATGGAAACAGAGTATCCCGCGGCGATCGGTCGATCTAGCGTGATCCCCTATGCTAACTCGTTTATCGCGCATACTCTGGACGTAGCCTGTTGCTGTGCAAATATTCTGCTGGATGATGCGCGTCATGCAATTTGCGTTTCATTGTCGTCGCGATAGTCGTATAACTTCCGGCTGTAAATGCCAGCACTCCGTGTTACGAGCGCGCCGCGAAGATTTTACTGGCGCGATATATCGCCGCAACGGCGATCGAGGTGGTTTACGGGGAGCCGAAGGTAACTCCCTTTGCAAGGACGCCCAGTAAGCAGGGGCGATATGATATCACGAAGTCGCGTACTCACGAGTGCACTTAAACGCGTTAGACGACCGATAAAATTTTCAACGTGTCGGCAGCTTGTTTGCAGAAACTTGCATTAATGTCTTTCTCTTTTTTTCTCTCTTTCCTTTTTTCTCCACATCCGTTCCATACTCGTGCTGCAATATCAAAGAATAAGTTTGAGCGTTAAAACCTACATTCATGATATACCTCCTATGCAGCTCGATTATTTCTACGACGGGACGGCAGGAATCATATTATTATATTATAATTGGACAATGAATGATTATACAATGAATGGTTCAACCTAAAAATTATTTAGGAATTTTTGTTACCAATGGGTAGTCCATACATCTTTCTACACAACTTTCTACATAAAACAAAAAATATTCAAGCTTCATAAGTACTTAAAATTTAATTAATTAATTAAAATTAATTAATTAAATAAAAGGTTTTACCTTCGGCAATTTTTCAGTTTAGGCTCCTCATCTCCGATTTCGATTAAAGTAGATCGACGTATTTTTGCACGAGAAACAACTTTTTTATCTGACGAAATCGCCACTGTTTACTGCGAAGCGAGATATTAGCTGACTAAGGCTACGTTCAGGGAGATACTATTTAGCGCTATGTGCTCTGTCCTTGTTTGTTCCTGAAAGTTGAACAAGGACAGAAGACGCTCATAGCGCTAAATAGTGTCTTCCCGAATGCAGCTAAAGTTGAAAGCATTATTAAGATTTTCCATCCGGCTTAACCGTTACGTTAAGATGTGTTCGAACACGTTCGGATCTGTGATTTTTTTGAGAAACGTACCTTTTGGTATCTTTGTGAAAGAAAGAACTGAATCTAAGTAAAATAAAGAGAGAGAGAGAGAGAGAGAGAGAGAGAGAGAGAGAGAGAGAGAGAGAG